CATACGTGATGGTGAAGAATGCAAAATACATAAAAGGTCACACATTAATAATTACATCATTCTCTTCACCTCCACTCTTTTCATCCCACCAATGCTCAATGATTCACCACCATGTTCATGAAAATGAAAATGTCCAGAGTGTGCAGGCCAGCAACTGTATGTAGACAGAGATGGGTTCTCTTTAGAACACCTGTATGGTAAGGTCCTCAGGGATTAGTCTAATTGCATCACTGAATCTGTATAAATGAACTTTTAGATTTGTATTTATATCAGGATTCATTATTTCCTCCAACTCAGTCCAGGAATTACTGACTACCCTGTGTAGGGTAACAGCATCAGTAGCCTGACTGCACCGTGTTTTTCTTTGCATTCCTCTGTGACACTAGTGAACAAATAATCAGCAAAATATTCCAAAGGCATTTATTTCTTTCTTGCACATGAATTAAAAATAAAATCTTACAAAATATACACATACTGAAATATATAATCTTAATTTATACATCAAGTATTTTGTAATGTAAGCTAGAAAAATAGAAACTTCATTTTGGACCCATATAATAATCTTGCTGTATTCCTAAAAATGATGTTGAAATAAGTATATTTTCCTTAAAATGGGAAAGTGCACATTCACCAGACTAACAAAAATAATTCAGTGCATAAAATAATTCCTAAAACAGGCATTCAGATTACATTTCCTTTCATATATGATTTCTCAACAATTAATAGTTCAGGTATTTCATATTTGGAAAGAGAGATGAACAGAGTCAGTTGAAAAGAAAGTTGAACAAGCTATTGCCCCTGTCCTGGAATTTAGTTTCTAGCAAGGTCATAATAAACTCTTATTGGAGCTCTTCTTTATTGAAAGTTAGGCAAACTTTGCTAGAGTTGATGTAAAATATTTCTTTACATTTAACCTAGAACACTTAAAATACATTCATGCTTTACCAACCATTTTGGTTATTTGCTGTAGGCATCTGTGAACTGGGGTCACAGTTGGAATTTACAGAAGTAAACATTCATTCTGCTCAAAATCCTGTCAATTATTAATTTTAAAAAGTTCTCCAGCAAGGAGTTATATATTAATAGCAGTTTGATATACAGGTATTTAAGTTAAGAACATGAGAATGCATATAACACAAATCACTTCAGGGTCTCATTAGCATCCACTTTCTGCATGTTTCATGTAGACTCAGACTGACATTTTGGTTGAAGCTCACTCCACAGAAAGTGCCACTTACATTAATAAATAAAGGATAATTAGGTCTTTTTTTTAAACCTGAAAGATTACGTAAGTTTTGGTTTAATTATTAAATTCTTAAAATTTCATTCTTAAATCTTAACACAAAATGTACATATTATTTTATATATGTTTGTAAGGATTCAATCCCTTAGAATAAAAGAAGTAAAATTAAAAAATATGGCTTCTCCATCTGCCTTTCTGAACACAATGAAGCATTAGCACTTAAGGGTTACACTGTCCACACAACCTGAGGTAGGTGACACCTTCTGTAAAACAAAATCATGTAAATAATTTGGACAAAATCATGTAAATCAAACTCGGTGAACCTACTTTTAAAAATGTAAATGTCCTATAAAGAGTCAATATTGTTTTTTTAAAATAATCAACCCATTTTGGTTGATTTTATGATTGAACATTGGACTTCTCATCCAAAAAGGCCACTTTTCTGAATTTGGATAGATTTTGAAAAAGAAAGAAGAAATTCCATAAAACATGCTATACAAACATATTTTGCTATACAGCTTCTAAAACTCGTAATTACAGTCACTAAAACCATACATTCTATTAAAAAATGAGTACAAAACATAGAAAATCAAGTAGTTAAGCCTTGCTCAAGGATGCAGTTGGTCTGATCTTGCAAAATACTTGGGCAGGTGCTTAATATTAAGCATATGCATCACTGTGCCAGGAGAGATTTTATGGCGAACACTAATGCACAAATATTAGACTGGCCCTTCCACTTCAAGATAAGCATGGACGTAAGTGCTTTGCTGGATATGGATCAGGATGCTCAGCACCTAACAGGGCTGCAGGCAGCGATCCAGCAAAGCACTTACCCACACGAACAACACGGCTGACTTTAGGATCGCTGCTCATGTGCTTAACATTAGGCATGCTCGTAAGTGCTTTCCTGGAAGGGCCCGATAGACCAATCGTGTGCAAGCTATAAAATTTGAAGCAGAGTATGTTTAACACACCGCATATTTAACAATGCTAATCTGCTGAGATTTGCTCTTTCTTGGAACAGGGCATGTGCGATGTCAAACACTTATTTTTCAGGAAGTGCGTAAAAAAAGCCGTCAAAAGCAGCTTTGTGATTATGGCGAGTTACAGTAATACAAGCGAGTCTCCTTAAGCTCCTTTCATTTCTTCTTTGCACATCTTTTCTCAGGCATCTACAAAGGAAAGAGAAAACCCTAATCAAAACATTACTTTATTCAAATAACCATCCATGCATTTAATTTTGCCCCAATAAACATCACATCAGATGCAACTGAACACCTGAAAACAAGCACACTGAACCCTTCCAGATTTCAGATCTGAATGCAAGTTCTGCCAACAATGCCACCTCTCTCACTGAAAATATTCCAATCACCAAGCTCTTCCACAAATAGAACTAAGTTTATTACTTAAGACTGAAAATGATGTGCCAGTTTGACCCTTAAATATCCCTAAGTCAGCACTTGTATTTCCATGTTTTCCATGCCCACTGATGTCAACCCATTTGCTATGCAAAGTCTAAAAAAGTGAAAATGTGAGAGTTGTTTAATCCCAGATAAACAACTATAAAATCATCACAGCTCATCAGATATTTACACGAACATGCAGAGATGTCATGTTAACCCAGAAAAAGAAATAAAGTAAGACCACATTTCTATAATAGCCCTGGCACATTGCTCCATACTATGCTAACCAAGGAAGAAATAGCAAAGCAGCACTTCATAATGATCTACTGCTACTGCTGGCCAGGCAGGGTAACTATATTTAAATCCTTATTGTGGTAGGAAATATTGTTTTATGCACTTGGCACCTTATGCTCTTCATAACTTCTTACAGATACATGTTGAGGAAGTTTCAAAGTTACTAAATGTATTTCTTGCTTTCCTAAAGGGAAAAGAGTTTTTGTTTTCACGTGAAAACTCTAATGGTTTTTGGAAATAGCTTATTTTTCTTGTCATGCACAAATTCCTAGTCAACCAAAAGCACAGTTACTAATAAAATTACTATTGTGGTAAGTTACAGCATAGCTGAGAGCTGAAGTCGAGATGTGGCACTAAAGCAAAATGCATCCCTGAACAGAGGAAGAACTCTAGACTTAGTCCTTGAGCACAGCAGCAGATGTGAAAGGCATGCACAGAGCAAGAAAAAATAAAATCTGGTACCCCAGATCAGAAGTCAGCACAAAGGCCTCTCATTTGCATCAGATTTGTTCTGTCCCAAATTCTGATCTGAGAAACTGTGACTTTTTCATAGAAGGCTCTTTAACAGCTCAACAAAAAGGTGTGCTTGCAAAATTTATTTCACAAAACTTTTGAACTGTTAAAACCCAAACCCCTAAAACTAGCATATTTAAGAGCTAGCTTAAATAAAAAATCTAGCCTATCCAGAAGAGCTTCTACTATGTATCTGTTCTGCCCCAAAGTTCCTGTTTCTAACATAATTCTCTCCCATTCTTGGTTTCCCAAAAAGCACCCATCTCATGCTTGGCTGCTTTCTCAGTGTTTTTATTAATAGATACAAAACTCATTTTTTCTACCAAAACACTCCCTAACTTGTTGCTTACTGCACAATGCTTCTCCATTAACATGACAAAATGTGCCTGTTCTTTTTCTTTTTTTCCTATAGCATCATCCTACATTTTTGATGAGTGTTTTTCAAAATTGCCATCACTTTGGCATCCCTTCTACTCATGTGAATTTGGGAGGTTGAATGTTTTTTGGAATTTAACCCTTCCACATAACCACAATTGCTCATTCTGGGCTCATCAAACACTATTTATTATCAGAGATAATAATTCTGTAGATCTCCAAGTATTTTCCTCTAGCTGGAATTCTAACCATGCTGACCCTCTGCACATCTGCAAACTACATCTGACACTTTGTAAGAAACATCAGTTTGAAAGGCACACAAAACCCAACAAGATCTACAAAACTGCACAGAACACATGGCAAGGGTTCTCTTTCATTTCTGGCTGGAAGAGAGTGCCACAGGGCTTTTTAACCTAACAGACACCATTGTAATCCAAGGGCTGCAAATGACAGCAAGTTTGAAGCAGAAAAATGGCAGTTACACAAAAAGGGGGAATTCCTAATTTCTCTGAAACTCACACGACCAAGGGCTACAAGCAGATTCTCTACTGAGCTGAAGTAGGAAAGACTGATGTGTTTTCAGAGTGTCTTTCAAAAACACACATTGTAGTTGATCCACAGTAATGAGACAGTGCAACAACTGATGGATGACATTGATTATGGCGCAGAATTGGCTAGATTGGTACAAATGATCCCAGTGACTCCATCTCTTTTTCAGTTCTGTGATTAAGGGAAGCCACATCATCAGCTAACCCTCTAAATACGTAGGAATACTCTGTACTGATGAAAGAACACAGAAAAGAGTGGATAGTGCATTTTAAGTAACAGTCCTGCCTTGTGCAAAACTTTGTAAAACTAAACCTTATCTAAGACACTCATACTCAAGCTTTTGAATCCAATGCCAAACAGTCTTCTTAAAAAAACCCCACCCATTCTTGCCTTTAAATCAAATTTTTCCTGATTATTTTCGTAAGGACCTCTTGACCTTGGAACTAAACATAAAAATACCCCTATATCACTACGTGCTAAGAGATTTATCACGTAAAGCCAGAGAGATGCCAGAACTCTTTAAGGATTAAAATTTATATACAGGAAAATACCAAAATCACTTAAAAAATGTGCTGAAACCCAACCTAGCTTTTGAAGCATACAGCAAATACAGCAAGCACAAGTTTCTTACACAAAGCACTTTATTGCATTACATGTACACTGACATTCATTGCCATTTGTTTCCAGCATATTGAAAACAACCCAAATCCCAATACAGAGAGTATCCTTGCCTCAATAAAATACCACCACTGACAATGCTTATATCAGCGCTTATATTTGGATCAAAATAAAAATGCAATGATGCCATCCTATTCTGACCTAACACTGGGTAAAAAACTTCAGAAAGTTGTAAAAATATAATGCTCCTTATGAATTAAAAAAAAAATAATCATCAAACGTGGGCAAATTTTCAGCCTAGAATGAAGTGTAATGGAGAAAACTCCAAGGTGGGCTTGACTGGGATTGCTCTAGGAGCAGCGGCACAATATAGTACCCTGCTAAGTCTTGCTTCTAGCTCATAGCACCATATTAATGCAGCTGAGCCATCTTCCCAATCCAGGCTGGAAAATCAAATATCATGGTACTGCCTTGCCTCACTAAGCCTAACAGCTCTGTGCCCTGCCAGCTCTCAGACCTCTCCATCACACTCCACCATGTACCCAGACACGCCCTGCATACACTATACTAACAAAAAACTCCAGGAGACATCTTTAGCTTAACATAAAAATAACCACTGTATAAAATTCTTTCAAGAACAAGTCTTCATTTTGATGTTTTAGATTTGGAGCTGAAGAAAGCAGAAATGGATTTCATTCCACTCTTATCAACTTTGGCCAGAGCCTTCTGTGCTGCAGACATCTTGGTGTTTGCCTGTGAATGAAATGATAAACAGAAACAGTTAAATAAACAGCAACTCCACAGGGGGAAACAGATGCTACAAACTCCTAAATACAGAAGTCAAGCAATAAGTTGAATTGCTTTTTTAGTATACGGCCGTAAAGATAATGTTATGCAGGCTTTGAATTGTAGGAGAAAAACATTAAAAAAACAAATTTGACATTATTCAAACTGAAGAATAGTTGTCATTAATTACTTAACCTCAAAGACAGAAAACCAACTGCAAGGAGAAGGAGGTGAAACATCTCTCCTTTCTGCAGAATGAGGTATCCCAAATCAAACGTTTACTTTGGGATAATCCCTGAGTGTACATTAAGAGGAATAATGCATGCAATAGAACAGATGCATTCTGTACCCTCCGACTCAATCTCATGATTATGCTGTCAGCAGGCTGAATTACAGACCTGCATTACAGATGATGAATAATTCAAACTGATTTACTATCAAAGACTATGCACAGTGAAATAAAGGGAAAAGAGATTAAGAACTAGGAATGAAGAAGGTAACTAACGTTTCCAAAGCACTTTTGAGGCCACTGGGACAACTTCCCAGACTTCTACACCTAAAACACGTTTTATGAACCACATTTTATTGAGCTGATCTCTTTTCTTTCTTGTATTTTAAAGCGTTATGTTTTCAATCTCTAGCTGCTTTCCCTATTAAGAAAACTTTGCATTGACCTTTATGATACTCCTCAGTCTGCAGGACTTCCCAATAACAGTTCTTGGGATTAGCTAGATGGTTATGGATACGATGGAGATAGGCAACAACTGTATGATTGTCTGTGTTACTCTACAAACAAAACCACTGCCAAAGTATTTTAAAAAGAGTAGTATACTGTACAGAGTCCAAGAGCTATCTTTTCTTTCCCAGATTCTCTCATCAATGTGCATTATTACTTCAGAAGTAAATCATATTTAATGGTAAAATGAATTATCTCTCCTCAGTTTATGTCTATCTCTATGCTAAGTTTAAAAGCTATAGCATATATTGTGGGGAGGGGGGAAACATGCATATTTAAACTATTTATCATTTTCACTTAGGGGGCAATCCTCTTACTTCCAAACTACAATGTGCAATGAGTACAAAAAAAATCTGGGGTTTTGGGGGGAGGAAGGAATGCATCTGTCACCAGCTGCTTCTCTTTGCAAAGGGATAACGAGTAGTCAGCATTAGACTGAAGGTCACAAGACCAGCACAGCGGGCCTTTTCGGTTCCCCACGGATTGGAGGAAGATTCATTTTCTTTCAATGTTCACAGAAATAAGCCAGTACAAGCCTCACAGCTTTGGCAGACACAGACAGGATCTATTTCTTTTCACATCTCTGTTGCTCTCCTAGGAATAGTACAGTGGCAGGCACCGCTGGACTCAGATTTGGATTGGCCTCCAAACATGCGTTGGAGCTGGCAATCAGTAAGTTCTGTGTTGACTTAACTTCATTAAGCTGACATAAATAAGTGCACAAGCAATATTTCTAGGTAAAAATAAAGCCTGTCCTAGCATCCCTTGGAATTTAAGCAAATGCTGCCATCTTAATTTCTTTTTTGAGTTACTGAAATTTACCAGTTGCTATCACTAAGCCATAGGATTTCTCATCTAAAGATCTCAAAGAGCCTCGCAAACATCAGCCAAACATCTTCACACATGTGTCTGAGTCTGTGAGGCTCACTGGAATGTTCACTGGTGTAATACAGCCCAGCAGCAATAGTACAAAACAGCTCAGAATAGGAAATTAAAACTGTCACATTAAACCTGAAAGAATTACAGATATCAGACAATTTTGTATTTGTTTTATATTTGTGATGTGTTTTGAAGGAGAAAGTTAAGCGCTCTGTGCTAGTCATCTACACTTCAGCAAAACATGTATGAATGCAAGGCTTGCTTACCTTCTTGGTTTTCAGATTGTCGCTGTTAAATTTAGTATAGTCTTCTTGTGGTTCCACAGGGACATCTGACAATTTCCTTTTCTGAAATGTTAGAGTGAGGAAGTTGCTCTGTCAACCACTTTTATGATGTACACACATGGAAGTTCAAAGCTTTGGCTTTAAAACGTAACCATAGCACCAAAACAGGACTGGAAATCAACTGAAGAATCTGCAGCAAGAGTGGAAGACTTCTGTCTGCAATTGTCTTCTCTACATGTGAATATAAACCATCTTTACAGCATTCAGAAGAGAGCATTCAGTGTCAGGGGAAGGATTTTCTTCCTAGCCTTCTGAAGAATGACTGTTAGAAATCAGCCATGATTGTGACTTTGGTGTCAGTCTATTTAGAGAACTTTCTGGAGCAGCTGTTGGAAGTCAGTGCCTGACAGTCAAGGAACTGTGGTGCTCACGATCTCACAGACCTGTGCAGCACCTCCAGTGTTGCAGCTATCTGCCAACACATGTGGATTATCTCCAGTCTGTTGTCTGCTTGTTCACAACCTTAAGAATTAATTAGTTTCTACAGGCTGCCAACAGTGAAACACTGCCATAGCTCCACTGACTGCTTCATCACTTGAATCCAACAGTATATTATGGAAGTTTGACACTGCATCTGCTGTGTGCCTTCTAACTTCAGAAATAATGCACGTGAAGGATTCTAAGCACTCCACATGATCAGGCTGTAAAAATGAATATTTCTTTCCATAAACTGTGAGCATGTGTTTAGTTTAAAGGTGAAAACTTTCTGGTATGTTTCCAAAAGGGAAAAAAAAGTATGTACTATTTTACAACACTGTATTTTTATTATTATTATATATCTGATATTACTACCCTGTCCTTAATATCCTGTGAAATCTAGACCGTGGCCTTCCCAGCTTTTGTGCCAAAGAGAGTGATTTTGCAAGCAACTTGGATGGTACCATACATTTTAAGATCCTGTTTTATTCATTTTGTTTATGGTGCTTCTGATATCTCTCTCTCTCCCTCCCCCTCCCTCTCTGTTTGGCACAGAAGCCAGGTCTGCAGCCTAGATTTCTCAGCTCTTAGAACCAGATCCAACTGAAGCCTTTTCTTTTGATTTCAATGGAATCTGGATCAGCCTCTTTAGGAGGCTGTTTACTGTGCTGTGATTACATTTTCAAATGACAATCTAATGAAGAATTACTTTTCTCCTCTTTTTGGAACCTGATAAACAAGTTTTTAAAACTTATAACAAAAATGTTTGCATTTCAGCAAAACATTTGCTGTTTAGTTGTAGCAAAGCCTCCATATTCTTTGTAAATGTCTCTCATCATCTGCCAATGGCCAGACTCCCTGTGCTGACAAACTGGACAGTGCGATGATTACAACACAAGATCAACGGCTTACAATTACTACAAAGAACATGCAATTTTGATTTAATCATTAAATCACAAAGACCAGGCTGCACCCAGTTTGTCCTTGCTCAAGAAAGAGAATGTGTCATTGCTTTTCGGCTGATCACTGAAGCTTCTACATCTTTCCTCCCTTCAGAGTTTAATGTAATGTCCAAACATGCAATTATTTTTCCAAAACAGGAAATGCATGTTAGAACCTTATTTTGGAATAATCATATATTATGTCTGTTAATACACCCTGCCCTTATGAAGAGAAATGTCAACACAAGTGATTAAAAATGGTCTGAAGGAGATGAAGTTTCCATGTATAAGCCTACCTTGCTCCTCTGAGATTGTGAAATGAAGGAGTGTTTTAATCTCTGAAGTTGCAAGGACTTAAACACAGAAACATCATACACACCCTGGTCAGTGCTCTGGAAATTAATCAGATCCTCAGCAAGGTCTCACTGCCCAACAACTGAACAGTTCTAAGCCTCATTTCCTCTGCAACCAAACTGCTGAAATAAAACTATTTTTAAAAATAGATTCTCAGAACTATCCCAATGGTATAAAAGCTATTCGTACACAATATGGAATGTACATCACATGCAGTTTAATACAGTTGTTTTAACATGCTTATATAGCTAATGACTATCAGTTGGCTCCTGATGTGTGCTTAATATTTCTTACAACACATAAAGATAATTCTTAACTGAATCAAAGGGCCAAGTAACTGTGCAGCCAGAACAACTGTCCAGCCACATGGAAATAACATATCTCTGGATATCCATTGGAGAACAAATGCTATTAATAACAGTAGGGCTCAATTATTCCTCTATGTGCTAGCTGACATGCTACTAAACAGAACAGTCACTGAACCAGCCAGAAATGAAGGGTTTTTTAGACTTTGTTTCAGTAAGTAGCAGGGATATTGTGGGAAAGGCCAGCGTGGTACGTAATCTCGTTTCAGCAGACACAGGCTGCCCTGTTTAAAATTAAATGGAAAGGATTATCCAAAGTGGGGTTATTGGTTCTAGAGGGACAAACTTTGCAAACCATATGCCTTACTTGTCTGAGGCAAAGCAAAGGGACTTGATGTGTGAGGAAGACATTTGGAAGGTAAAAGAAAAAGACTGAAAAAGTGATTTTGGACCTTTTACTTCAAACAAGGTGAAAATCTTGGAGGAAAAAGCTTCTCAGACTAAACACTATAAATGCAGTTCCTTGCTCATACAGATGCATGCATATTCCACCACCTGCCATCCATCCCCCAAAAAATCCAAGTGACATTAGGTGTAAGCAGAAATCTCTAATGAATGGGGGAAAAAAAGACTGGGGGAAAAGAATTATTAAAAAGAAAGATCAGTTTAGGGGTCAGGTAATCCTGAGACTAAGTGAGAACTGCCAAAAAGTCAAGCTGAGTTAGACCTTGGAAAGGAAATTAAAACAAACAGTACAAGGTTGTTTATCCACAGAGGCAAAAAGGGAATTAAAAAAGAGAAAGTGAAGCTGCTGTACTGTAGGGATTGGATAGATATTAAAGTTAACTTATGTGTGGACCCAAAATGGAAGAACTCTTTTGCCTCAGTAAATAATTTTCAGTAAAAATGAAGAGGTTAAGCACAGGGACAGAAGAGAGAACAGAAATCACTCTATTGAAGACAGAAGTAAAACCCAATATGCTGATCTGGTTGGAAGACAGCATCAGGAACTACAAAATGAGAACCAGAACCTGGCACATACTCACTCTATCAGGCTGGGACCATATCAGTGCAGAATAGCCACAGACCCATCTCTAATATAAGAAGGAAGAAAAAGTGATAGTAGGACTCAGGAGAAGAGAATGTGGAAAAAACTGAAAGAAGGAAGAATAATTAAAGAGTAAATGAAACACAGAATAATACAGAGTGGTTTGGGTTTGAAGGGACCGTAAAGATCATCTATATCCAACCCTTCTGCCATGGGCAGGAATACTTCCCACTAGACCAGGTGGCTCAGGGTCCCACCCAACCTGGCCTTGAACACTGCCAGGGTTGGGAGTTCACATTTCTGGGCAACCTTTTCCACTGCCTCACCACATTCACATCTAATTTAAACATACACTCTCTCTCAGCTTAAGGTCATTGCCCCTTGTCCTGTCACCACCAGCCCTTGTAAAAAGTTTCTCTTCAGCTCTCCTGTAGCCACCTCAAGATACTGGAAGGTGCTCTAAGGTCTCCCTGGAACCTTCTCTTCTCCAAGCTGAACAACCCCAACTCTCTTAGTATGTCTCAGCCTAAAAAAAACAAGGTAATGCCTACTAACTCGCATTTATTTTCTCAAATGTAACACATTTTTTGGCGACAGAATGTGAAGGTTCTCCAAGCTGAACAACCCCAACTCTCTTAGTATGTCTCAGCCTAAAAAAAACCAAGGTAATGCCTACTAACTCGCACTTATTTTCTCAAATGTAACATATTTTTTGGCGACAGAATGTGAAGGATTGCCAGAGGGCTTGACATGGTGCCACTTAAGCAGCTGCAATTACAGAAAACAAATACTGCATAAGAAGTTTAAGGTAGGTGAGAAACTGGGAAAAAGGAAAACGAAGGCAACTAATGCAGAAAGGGATGCCATTGGATCAGATGGAGATTACTAATTAATTACTAATTAAAGATAATAATAGAATGCTAACATTTGCTGAATGTACACCACTGAGTAGCATTATGAACACCTAAAGAGCTTTTAACACTGTGTAAAAAAGTCAGGGAACTTTCAAGAGTGGAAACATTAAAACCAGATTAAATGTACAGAAGAAGTAAAAGGTCATGTACACAGAAACTAACTGCATGAATTTCTTGTAAATCTGAGAACTGATCAAGTAAAAACTGCAATGGAAAAAAGAAAACCCAGCTGTGTGTCTTAACTGTTCACAGCACAACAGAGAGCTATCTGATCACACATCAATAGAGGCAAATGGGATTCTAGTCTGTCATGGGACAAAGTATTTCTAGTTAAGACAAGAAGGGAAGAATGCCATCATATTGTAGGAGTAAAGGTTTTATCAGAAATAATTACACATTTTTCTGGTCACCTGCTTTGAAACAATTGAGTTAATCTTGGAATATGTGTAAAGAAATCTTTCCACAATGAGGGAATGGAGAACCCATCTCACACAACCAAATTGGCTTCTCAAAATGAAAACACAAAGCATATATGTTTTCCCGTTACACATTGAAAGAACTAATGTTAGGGAGGGAAAGGAGCCATTTCAATTTCAAAAAACAATGATAAAGTTAGCACAAAAGGGCAAGGGAATAAATTGGCCATGAATAAATTCAAGGTGGAATTTACAGAAAGGTTTCTGAGCATCAGAGGAATGAGGTTATTGAACGCTCTTCCAAGAGAAGTAATGGAAATAAAAAATCCTAATGAGACTTACAGTGAAGAATGGTCGGTGTATGAGAGATTATTCAACATGGTTGTCTGGGAATCCATGACCCAGGAGGTCCCTTTCAGGGTCCTCATAAATTACATATGAAAGAAAACCTATGAGGTCATATTGTCCCATCAACCTCAATAAAACTAAATAAGCAAAATGTATGAAAAAGACTGTTGACCAAAACCATAAAATATGGCTCTCTTTCCCCCACCCCCCCCTTTTTAAACAGGAAAACCAACCAAAATATTGCTTATTAAAAATATGAGTTACCTGGTAAATTTCTTGAGCTTGTTTCAGACTAGCTTTTCACAAGGCCACCTTACTTAATGTATTGTACCCAGTTTCAATAATAACTCAGAAAAATTAACTTACAACACATCTATCAGTATCTTAATGTTCTCCTACCTTCACTGGTGGCTCTGGTTCTGGGCTTCTAAGTTCTGGGAGCCTGCAGAACAAAAGATTTTAAATTAAAAATAAAGAGAGATAAATTGCACAACCTAAAGTTTGAAAATCCTTCTTCATAAATACTGCTTTGGTTATCAGCTGCTCACACATGGCAAGCATTTGCAAAAAAAAGCAGCTCACAGACTGTATTTCTGACTTATGAAACTGCTCAGCTATGGGGCTTCAGGCTGCAAACTGCACTTTTCCAAAGGCCACCATAACAGAAGCCTTTGAACAGAACTGAACTGATGAATAGGTATAGAGTCCCAGTGATGATCCAAGCCAAGTCTGCTGCTGGCAAGGAAAACCAGGATGAGGATGCTGGCTCACCTTCCAGATTTAAATACAAACTAACACAGGTGAGAAAAATAAGTCAAACCCAAGCAGCACTGAGTGAGTAGGGAAAAGGAAAGAGGACTGGGGATGAAGACTCAATTCCTGGCTCTGCTGTTTGTGCTTGACAATTCTGGACAAACTGTTCTTTTGGATTTTCCTCCCACTTGCCTTCAAACAGGATACATTACTCAGGGTTTCATCACGCAACACTGGTAACAGACCTATCCGACTTTAATATTACACCTCCCCCAGCTCACAGTCCTTAACACCATAGGAAAGCCAGAAAATAACCCATAATCTACATTTGAAAAAATCACATTTAAAGTGTGGCAAATATAATCTCATTGTGCCATTCACTGCAACCTTGATGAATAAATCTCAGTATTCAACAGAAATTACCAAAGGGACATCAATCCATGCCATGTAAAGCTATAAGCTAGCTGGAACAATACTTACCCCAAGTATTTTAACAACTCCTTACTCAGGTCTTCAGGAATATACTCTGATATTAACCCATGGGCATACCGTACATAGTCTTCAGGAAGTTCAGGGAGTGGGAAGGAGGAGAAAAAGAACATTCATGTTAGGCAGTCACGTTGCTTTAGCCATGTTTCATGTGCTACCATGAGGCACAAGGTTGAATCTCTAGTAACAGACTCCTAATGGATACACTGCGATGCTTCTCTGCCTCGAGTAGTTTATGTTATATGACACTTGTAGGTTTATTTAAAAAGTAAAGACTTACTACACTCACTTTGTCAGCACATGTTATTAATATCTGCTGCATGCACTTTACAAAAGCTGTTCACTTTCTGAGAGTACTAGATATCGTGTATTTTTCCGAAGAAATTAAATTTTAAAAACCTGCAAAAGTAAAAAGCTGACTCAACAGAACATGCAATCATTAATTTTAAAGCATCTGGATCTTACAATTATTTGGCAAGGGCTTCAGTACTAAAGAACATTTTCTGGCTTCAACTGAAAACAATTAGATGAGACAATGAGTCCATTTCAAAGTCTTGTACTTAATTTTCAGTACTTTATAGAAAATGCCAAGGCCTATCTAAACATCACTGGCAAGACAGGATAATTATCTGTGGAAATATGAACTACTAGAAGCTGTTTTCAGTACAGGGCACTCCTGCTATAAATGTTCTTCTGAGAGACTGGGGAAAAAAAAGTGACCCTTTTATAACACAAAGTCCTAAACCAGATCTTTTCCGGTCACGTTCTACACAAGCACTGACTGATCGTGGGCTGGATCAGTCCTTTTTAAACTTGCTGTTGTTGAGGCTGCTAAGGAGTAACTGCACCCATGCACAGGAAGCATTTGCCAGACAGATATTAAGTTAAAATCTCCCCTCTGAATTCCAACTCCAACAGGCCAGTTTATCTGCTCATATGTACTTAGAGAGTTCAGAAGTACATGGCATACCAACCTCAAGGAGGCAAAGAGCTATTACTTTAGTGCCAGAGATAAATTTATCTTTTTTTTCCCCTGTTTTCTTTTTTTTTAACCTGAACAGCTCAATGCAAACTGGCATTGAAGGAGAAAGCATTAACAAACTGACAGTAGCATATGCATTTCAACTGTACTGACAACAAATTCTTACTGTCACCTATCTGCACTTCTCCTTCCTTCACTGCATAGATTCATCAAAGATTTTTCACTCTCTAAGCCTACTTTAGGGTCAGGAGAGAACAAGAAATAATTCCAACCCAAGACAATGTCACTTAATATGTTCAATTTCTTCCTTAAGAAAAGTGTTCCAATCTTTGCATTATGACACTGAATGGTGAGTCCAAACCAATTGTTATTATTTCATACTACATACTACATCCATTCCCTTTGCATTTCTGACTTGAAGCAATCTTCACTGACTTCCTTTATCAATTTAAAAATACCACTATTTGCCTCCTATAGGGTCTGTGTTCCTAAGCCAGCCTTTCATCAAACATCATGAATACTTACACAACTCCCTTCTTTGTCTTCTGAACAAGAATATTCAAGTCCCATATGATAAACCTCTCCTACTTCCCTATTTGCTCTCATTATATCCTCCCCTATTTTTGCCCTACAACATCTGTAGATGTTGTACATATACCCCACCTATTTTTAAGGTGCTGAAATTTCATAATAGCCCTATGAAAACAATTCTCTACAGAAATAAATTGCACTATCACAGCAGTGAAAATCAGACAGAAAATGAGTCTTACTAGAAATAAGTGTTGACAGGAAGTCAAATGGACATTATTCATTCGCCTTGCCACATACAGTGGGACTACCTCCAAAACTCACCTACTTTAAACCCCAGCATTCCCAATTTCAATGCTGCTCTCTCAAATATGAAAACCCAAGGTTTTTAAAAAGACTATTATAATCATGTCACTACAAATAAAGAGCACGGTGGGAAAAATCTCACTGCAGATGAAATATTTAATTACAAATTTCAGAGAAAAAGTATTTAAGCATAGTCAAGATGGTTGTTGCCAGGACACTTTCCCGTTTCTTTAAAAAAGTAGGGGTTGGGAAAAAGATTAAAAGCTACCGTCACAACTTTTGCAACTTAGTCTCTTTTTAAAAACCATATATTACAATTTCTGTTCTATAAAATTGGCTATTTGCCTCATAAATCTCATTTATGTTGTTTCTTTTGATATCATGACTTGGTAGCTCATTTTCCACTTTGCCAGCAAGCTGCTTTGTTTCTCCTAAATTTTTAATAGCATGAAGACTTCTGAATGTCTTTGCAATAAGAAACAATTTGCTTTGGTTCATCTTGCTCTAAACTGTTCTTAATTTCCATTAACATTCAAAGATTTTATTCCGAGTCCATTTTCAGGTTTCTCTACAGAACGTCGTGTCAGTAACACTCATTGCCCTCCCCAGAAAAATGGTGAATAGAAGCAAATGGGATCCCACCAGACTTTTTGGTAACAGGATTCTTACAATTTAATACACCTCTTATCAAAATGTTGTCCATCATAATTACACATTTGTGTATTTGTAGTGGGTTGAGGTAAAATGTGGGTAAAATGGTAAAATGCCAGTGCACCCAGAAATCATCCAATTCATACATTGTCCATTTGGACCAGGCGCCTTTTCCCTGTGCCCATGACTTCCTAAGATCCCTTTGCCATTTTGAAGAATTCTATGAATGCTAATATTCCATGCATCCAATAAAAATAAAAATAAAAATAAAAATAAGCATGTTCTAATGCAGACACATTTACTGGGTGGGAACTCATATATATTATACATATGTATCCGATTCTTTAACACAGCCTCAGTTCAGCACAGCACTTCAGCAAATACTTCACTGAGCAAGATGTTTCATCCTTGAACTGTGGAGAAGCTAAGAGAACCCCAGCTGAGACCATTGTAATTGTTAATTACAATGTCATCTGATGAAGATAGCAAAGAACTTGAAAAAGCCAAGGCACAGAGTCACAACTTATATGGAATTTTCTGTGCAAATTTACTGCAAAGGCCAAATTCAATATATTTTAGTTTCTAATAATGTGTTTTATCTCTAGTTATGTGACTTCACAAAATTGGAATTCATTACCATGTTTAGTTTTCTTACCTTCCTGAGCATCTGTGATCTGTTTACTGTTGATACATGTACTTGCAAGCACCCTTTCACCTACTGATATATTGTTGCTTTTAAGCGCTTTCACTGTTTGATTAACCTACAGAAAACCAAAGAATGAAATGCCTGTATCAATATTGTTATGCACATGTTAATACAGTGACAAAGCTCTTGTAATTTTGTTTCAAGCACATAAAACACTCAAGTTATGGACTGTGGTGAAATTTAATATACATTTGTAATGACTAGCAGATGAGCTCAAAAAACCCAAAGAAACTAGCATGGCTTTGAACATGTTGCCTTGGCAACACAGCACCACTTCTGCAGCACCCAAAGATGAGCTGAGCTACTCAGACTCAACAGCCATGATTATACAGGTGAGAAATACACCTGCTCAGAGAATGCTCCTGAGCTCAGCAGGATGGCAAAGGCAGTCCTGGTGGAAATCAAAGATTAAAGACTTATGTGCTGGATCCAACAGAGAGAGAACTGCCAGATGAAGGTAATTTCAACAACACAAACAGGTACCTGTTCACATGTAAATATTCAGGTAATCATTGCAAAATAGGTATTCCTTCCCATGCCTCATCACTGCAGAAAATGGACCAGATTTTGTGCTTGAATTGATTAATTTAAATGACAAGGCCTCCTCATCATGTGATACACATCCACTTTTTCTATAGAGCAGCATCATGTTAAGGGTACATGCGCATGAGTAAAATGAAATTCACCTTATTTATACCAAAACAAAGACCCCATCAAGCTTAGCTTTAACACTAGTTTATTTCTGGCAGACTCTACAGTCCTCTTGAAGAGAATGACTGGATCAGGATAATAGCGACCAAACCAGGACCGTTCTGAGTGAACTCTGCCAAAACTTCAGGAAACATATTTGTAGCAGAAAACCAAGGCAGTTTTGTCCATCTTCAAAGCACAGCAGAATTTAGAAACGGTAACAATCAAAACTCTCCTCTAGCCCATCTAGGAAAGGGACAAAGCGAAAGCAAGCCCCTCACGTTATGCAAAGCCTAAAGCAATAAGCTGACAGCTTCTTCTTCCTACCCACACCCCATATAAGCCTCTTTCATGGCCAGTCCCATCAAAAAGAGAAATGCAACAAGCTTGTTAATATTTCTAACACCTGATCACATTCCCAAGTGGAGCAACTTTACTGTGATGTCTGTCCTTCTTGGGCAGGACACATACCTTGAACTTAGGCACAGCACGTGGCTCCAATGCAAATATGGACAAGCTAAAAAGCATTTCCATTTTGAACATGTAGCAATTTTTAAAGCAAAAGGGAAAGACAATACCTTTTTCTTTAACCACTTCAGTGTCTTCTCTTGGCTGTATTTGTGGAATTTCTGACTGCCAATCTCTGAGGAAAAACAAGCAAGGGGTAAAAAGTCATGTCTGGTTTGGATTGCATTTCCAATACCTTTAAAATCTTTTAACTTGTAGATAGAATATAAAAGTTAATTTGCATCTTGCACATGTTTGATATTGGGGTAATAAGTTTAAAAAAATATTGGAAGAAAAAATAAAAGACTAAGCTGATATGAACAGGTCTGGACAATCTGACAGCTCTTTAATTAGGACCTAATCCAGCAAAGCACAGATTTTATTTATTTATGTGTAATCTTGGGTTCTCTTATTCGCTAAGACTCTTCTCAAGCCCTTGTAGTTTCATTTCACCTTCACTGTTGTGTGTCACCAGACTGATGATTTTAACTACGTATCTCATAACACAAAATGTTGGTTCCAGAATTTTTTTTTTAAATAACAGATTATCTTACATCTTTCTGTACTCAATTCCAGCAACTACTAAGGGATCAGGACAGAAAGTTGGTTACTGAAGCTAAACTATCCACCTCTTCAATAAACCCTTTCCCTATCAGTTCTTTCTCATGTCAGAGTAACTAAAGCAGAATTTTTACTTCTATCCCTCTTTTACATAATTCAATATAATGTTAAAAGAAAATACAGAATCCAAAATAGTGAAACTCACTCCTTGTGGGAGGAAGTACATGATTCACTCATGATTTATGGAGCAACACAAATTAACTTGATGATATGAGAATTCTGGAGAGTGCTTCCCCTGCAATAACGAGGGCATCATGAGCACTTGCTATTCACATGCACTCTGGAGATATACGAGTTCAAAACATCCAGGCAAAAGAGAAAATTACAAAGGCTCAGGGAAATTTCAGTATAAAAATTCAGTATTAACTCACAGAAAGCTAGATTTGGGAAATGGAATCAGATGCCTAATAAGATTTCACAGGAGATTTTGGAGCCTGCTGCTTCAGTCCTTTTCTTTAACAGGTATTTCAATAAGTTTTGATCTCCTGTATACCATTCCCATAAATACCTACATCTGTTTCATGTCATTTACTGATACAGTGTCATATTCCAACACTCATTTCATGGATTTTCCTTCTCCCCTGGCAAACAACAACATATTATTTATGATTCCTTCAGCACTTCCTTCTTTGGGGTTTATCTTGGCTCTTCCAAATTGCACACAAACAGTGAACTATTATGTGCTCTTTCTGTATGCATGGCAGGGGGTATGGAGAGGTCAAGGAAAGCTGTTAGCAAGATAAAAGTTTAAAATCTGTCTCAATAGTTGTATAATAGTAAAATACAAAAATTCTTCAGAGCAAAAATGAAAAAATACACTAATGTACACTTGGCTGAATGATGAGGTGCAGGTAAAACAATTAGCTGTGACATTGTTGGCTACAGGCTTTAGGTCTTAGAGGCTTCTAAATGGCTCTGAAAGAAAATAAGCAGAAAATGGAGAAACTCTCTGGATACTTGAACCTGCTTCTTAAAGGGCTAACATGGTTTGGGTTCAAGCACAGTTAGTACAATTCATGGATTCCTCTCTTATCTAAGAAAGTTCGAGGAAGGGACATCCTCTGGGCACCATCCCCCAACCCATGCTGAAAAGTAATTCTAGTCTGGATTCCCAGGCAGACTCCCCCACAACAGCATGATTCAGAGTGACTCAGGGAAAGGAAATGTAGAACTGTGAAGCCATTTTCATTAAAACATGTGAAAAATAATTACACTGAACCCTTCAGAGATCACTTTGTTTGAAAATATTTTGTGTGCTTGACAGTTTTGACTATTAAACCCTAGAAACTGACAATATTCAAGACCTCTGAAGAATTAAAGTGAGTTATGAAAGTCACAAACTGCTGACAAAAGGATTCAATATTGGAACGTGGATTTAACATGTGATGCACATTTGATATTGGTGAGAGTTAGTGACTACATTTGATAATATGAGTATATATTGGAAAGCCTTTTGTTCCCTAATGTGTCTGGTGCCTATAAAACTGGTCTGAGACATCTGGAAAGATTGGGTTTGAGAAATACAGATGGAATATAAGTGGTTCTACAATTAAATAATATGTTCAGTGATCGGGTAATCGCTATGTAGACTTGGAAGTTTCCCTGATGTATTGTTGAGCAAACTGCCTAAAGCACATTTTAAAATCCATTTTCTCAGTGTTTTCCATAACTCTGAAACTTATAGGGCCCCTTTTTTCCTACCTCCTGGGAATACAAGCTTGGCAATATTATTTAGTTCTTCTAATCAGGTAAGTTTTTTTGGCTCTTCATGTTAATCACATCAGACAAGATCACAGTACAGCTTTTGCCTTGCAAAATGAAACAAAGAGTAACACTCTAGAACAGGAATTCATAACCCTTTCTTAAACCTTTTTTACTGTACATTCAATCCAATGTCAGAATTTATTAGCAAACAACCTGCCTCACCCAGACTTAGTGAGCTGTAACACACCCTTTCCACAACTACTAAAGCAGGTAATTCAGAATTTAATTCAACTAAATGAATTTTCAGTGCCCTTCAAGAAAGAGGCCAGAGAAGGTGGATTTTCTGCTAATTCAGTATGTGTAAACTGTGAGTGCTCTGGGGTAAGAATTTCTTAGACAGATGTTAAAAGTCTTAAGACTAAATGAAGAGTGAAATAATTATGTTGTTAAGTTCTGTCAAGCAGAACAGAGCTGCTGAAGCCTTAATGCAACTGGTATTTCTTGCCCCAGTGCTCTACTCCTAAAATGAGAAAGGCTACAAAGTGGACAACAGGTCTTAAGAGCCAGAAAAGAGCAAGTACCTGAAGTCATAATGCTGGTATTTTTTACAAGCAATAAAAGACAGGAGAATATGAAACACATAGAAGTGGATTAAAGAGAAAGGTGATGTGTGCATGACAGGCAAGCAAGTGCCAATGGGTTTGTTGCATAACAGTACTCTTGGCGTTCTATAAAAAGAAAGAAATTCTAAGAACAAGCCCCACTGTAACCCAATCCAAACTTGAACAAGAAAAGAAGTAGCACGTACATGCAGGTACATGCCTGGGAAAACCCAAGAACATCACATAAAGCTGATGTGTGCGTACAGCTTTTATGACAAAAGCATTGTTGACCTCGCATTTCAAAACAAAACCCAGGAAGTGAACAAACCTTTAACAGCTAATACAATTTGTTGGCAAAATGACACAAACTTATAACGCGTTACTTAAAATGGAGAAAAAAAACAAGCAGTGAAGCATCTTCACTACTGTCTAACAGAATACAGTTTATGGAAGGATGCTCCCAGATGGGTAACAGCTGTATTTGCAGCATCAGAATGGATATAGAAGTTAGACCAAGACACAAGATCTTGTATATAAAAGACACTTTAAAAAAAAAGTCTTGTTTTGGGAACATAAATACTGTACTGTTGTTTGGAGGAAGTGTCCCTTCAAAAAAATAATCCAGACCTTATCCTAAGTTCCTATGCAGACTCAAGTATGACAGTCAAAAGGATGTGGCTCCATTCTTCACCTTCTCAGACAGGTGACCAACCTGACCTCCATTACAACAATGTAATAGTGGATGAGGGAAAGGCTGTGGATGCTGTCTATCTAGACTTCTGGAAAGCATTTGACGCTGTCTCTCCCAGCACTGTCCTACAGAAGCTGGCAGCTCATGGCTTGGACAGGTACACTCTACACTGGGTAAAAACCAGTCTGGATGGCCAGGCCCAGAGAACTGTGTCACATCCAGCTGGCAGCCAGCCACTAGTAACCCCAGGGCCAAATTTTTATCTAATATCTTTAACAATGATCTGTATGGGGGGATTGAGTGCACCCTCAGTCAGTTCAGAGATGGCAGCAAGTTGGGCAGGAGTGTTGATCTGCTGCAGGGTAGGAAGGCTCTGCAGAGCTCATCAATCCAACCTCTGGAAAGGTTGGATTGATGAGCTGAGACCCAATGGCATGAGGCTCAACATGGACAAATGTCAGGTCCTACACTTGGGTCAACAAACAACAAACCTCTGCAGCACTACAGGCTGGGGGCACTCTCAATGAGGCTCAGGGGGGACCTTATTGCTCTCTACACCTAACAGAAACAGAAAGGAGTTGCATTAAAGTGGGGGTCAGTCTCTTCTGCCATGTCTCAAGTGAAAGAACAAAAGGAAATGGCTGCAAGTTGCACCAAGAGATCTTCACATTAGATATTAGAAAAATTTGTTCACTGAAAGGGTGGTCAAACCTCGGAATAAAGTGACCAGGTCAGTGGTGAAATCACAGTCTCTGGAAGCGTTCAAGAGGAGTCTGGATGTGGCACTTGGAAATATGGTTTAGGAGTGATTATGGCAGCACTAGGCTGACACTTGGACTAGACCATCTTGAAGGTTTCATCCAACCTTGACGATTGTGTCATTCTGTACACAGAAGTTTAACAGCTCTTCTCTCACCCTGGCTACTTATCCCATGTTAAACAAGTTGTAGGGCACAGCAATGGCCTGAATGCTTGAAAATACTTTTTAATGGAAATACTTGTCACTTCCTGAGAAGGCAAAAGCGGTTTTGCATTTCAGATGCACCTGTCCTAAAGAACCTTCTCAAAAGTCAGAACTCACCCAAATAAAAGGATTGTTTGGTCCAAATGACACAAAATGTAACTACATACTCTGTAGGTTTTTTTGGAAATGCAGGAGGCATAGTAATATTACTCCACAATTATGTTTATGGAAGCACATAATTCCAACAACCCCAGTCCCAAACAGAATGTGACAACAGCCTTCCTATCTCGATTTTCTGCTCCCTTGTGAAAGTGAGCATTTTCAACAGAAACATGTCCTGCCCTGAAGTTCAAATGCAATTTCCCTACCCTACTGCCCATGCACCATATCAAGCCCAAAATACTTAAACTTGTTCACCTAAATTAACTTACAGCTTCTGCCCCCCACAAACACCTTAATGTTCTATACAGCTAGAAGGAGGTCTAGTCTTTTACTTAGCAACTTTACTTTTTCAACACCTTTCCTTAGTCACTTCCCACTTATCTGTAGATTATCAAAATATTTCTTAAATATCATATATATATGAGAACAGTTAGCTTGCTTTGTGAAAGCAAATTCTTAATGTTCGTAGTTTTCAATCTATCTTTTAACTTTAACCTCAGCTCGCTGGAGAAGCTCTAGTGCATAAGAATCAGACAGCTTACTAGTTCTGCTCTTGGTGCAAAAGATTCCAGTATGTTCTCCTGTAGATCCCCATGTGCATGTAGGGAAATCTCCATTCCCTATCAGGGAGTTAGCAAGCCTAAGTATAATGCTATTTAAAGGACTGAAAATAAAAACCAAAGTCTTGCATGTTTTACGATCTGCAAACCTGCAAAAATAATGTCACGCTCCTGTCCCTTCCCTAGAAAGCATATATTGTCCTCAAATAAAATGAAAGCCCCCACACCAAAGGGAATTCTGAGCAAAGGCTGAGGAAATTATGCACAGAATTGATAGCTCGCTAACCTTTTCCATTTGAGTTTTCTCTCTCATACACTTATGCATCCCAATCAATTTTTGCATTTTAAAACAATTAAGTCTTTAAGCTTAAACCCAAAACACTAAATTACGCAAAGCCATAAAATTTGTGTTCTCCTTTCTCAGCAACACATTCATTCTTCTCCAGCTTTTTTCTATTTACTTTTCAATGGTTTGTGACAAAGGATGAAAAAAAGTGAAATGGACCACTTCCATGCCACGCCATCCTACACTAAGTAAAGAATTTATCATTTGCATGACACCTAGCAATAAGACTGCATGAGATTTTCCAAGTTGCAGCAGATAATCTGAGAGCCACATATTTCTATTCACAAGACTGCAATGACAAGCTCTAAGCCTAAGCTTCTGTTTTCGAAGTACAGCTGTGTCCAGCACTTTGGTTGTTTGGTAAAGCAAAAAACAATATTTAAATCTATTTTTTAATGAGGTGACACTAACAAATTGAGTCTTTTTTTGTCCTCCCTCCCCCCCACCCCTTTTTTTCACCTTTTTCTTCTGTTACGTGCTGTATGTACTGTTTAACATCTGCACACTTCAGCAGCAATGGGCAGCTTGGGTATTCTGAGTCTAGCACAACTTGATCAAGTGGCTGGAACTTTCCTTGCTGCTGAAAATACATCAAAGGGGTTATAAAAACATTACTAAAATGTTAAGACACATATATACACACTACACATATGTATATAAATATATATGCATGCAATGGCCATAGCTTTAAAATAAAGAATTTAAAGAAGATCGTATTTTGAATGGTACCACATGACACATTCAGAAACTGATTACAAAGCAAGCTATAAATATTTATTTCAGACCAGTAAATACCTGCAAAACGCTGAACTCTTCAAACACTGCACTTAAAAGGCCAAATTTAAAACAACACAGGGAGAAACTAATGTGAAGTACAGCAGGATTTTTTGGAAGATGACATAAGACACAGTAGTCAGAGTGTGCCAATAGTGTTTTAGACCAAAACCTGTTGGATTAAACCCAGTGTCATAACTTCCATTCACATTTTGCTTTTCCTTCCACAAAGATAAATCTCAAAGGAGCAGGGCAGCTTCTGGAACACAGTATTAACCTTTCACCTCTGCAAAGTCAATTCCAGTTTGGCCAGAGTAGGGATATAAAGTGATTTTGGCACAACATAAATAGCCCCACACATGACAGAACCATCAAACAAATTTTGCCATTGCCAAACAATGCATAATCATTCAGCATGGTTTGGCACAACTGGCAACCTTCCCTTTGGAAAGATCCTTTAGTGCATCAGTACAAAGACTCTGTGAACTTCTCATGCTTACAGAGTGCGTGGTCTCTGCAGCCAAGGCTGAACTCATTATACTGGTCAGCATGAAAAAACCCACTTGGGGTACACTGCTTTCATTATTAATTAATTATCTTGCTAGACACACAGAGGCTTAATAAAAGTAACCATCTATTGTTAAAAACAATAAAATCAAACAAGAAAAAATAAAAACAAATAAAAAATCCCAAACAAATGCACAAAAAGCAGAACCAAGAAAGTACTTAGAGGGTTTTTTCTCCTTAAAAGGGAAAAGGCACAATAACCATGGCAAAAAGAATTTAGGAGACACAAAAATAAAACTGCAATAAGCTCTTTCTTACAGATAACTGACCTGCTTGTGTCCCAAAGCAAGACAGCTGCATTTACATCATGCATGGGCACAGAGCCTAAGCCAAGAAAGGTGCTGCATAGGAGATTGCTCTGCTCAGACACACCAAGCAATCCTGCACCACACTATCAAAATCAAAGGACAGTGCAAAGGATGATTCTGTGATATCCAGTGATATCCATCAGTTCAAGCTGGAAGTGACTGTGCTGCATTCAGGCTAGCCTTACCACAATACTGTAGAATACACTAACTTAGGCAAGGTGCTGCATGAAAGCTTTTACCCTTTTTTAGGACTCACAACAGCTCTAGGCATTTATCTGGCATCATGCCTGGCCTAGAAAACCAGAAAACCTAGAAAACAATGTACTGAAAAAGTGAAGGGCAGCACAAGACTCTTTCCATGCACAGAAACTGCAGCAGTAGCTGTCCTTTACCCAGGCTACCTCAACACCACCCCACATATAGAGAGGAGATTTACTACTTCCCTAATTTAAGTTTGGTATAAAGCTTTCAAAGGAATGATGAATTCAGAGTGCAGTGCCCAAGGAACAAGCTGAACTACTCGTGGAATGACCTCTTCTGATGGACCATCCTCACCACCCAAATACAGAATACATCTGCACACCCTATACCTTAAATAATTAAAACATCATTACAGAACAGTAAGTTACTATTACAAAGGTATAAGAAGACTTTATACCTTCACCATAAATAATTTGTTCTTCTGCATTCTCCATTTGCAATCTAAAGCAGAAAATAGCTAGCAACCCTGTAGAAATTCTTTTAGAGCAAAAACTCTTAGGATGCATAAAGTGCATTGTCCCCACTAAACCAAACAAACAAGCAAAAAAACAATTAAAAAAATCAACATTTTGGTTTTATCTTATGCCCCTTTTTTCAGAGGTTGCTTATGAAAAAAAATCAGAAAATTTGCCTACGACTTTTGATATATTTCAGAAATTTACGTGAGGTTTTGCTACACCCACAATAAATCAATGAAGCCATTTTTTAATTACCCAACTTTTGGATACTCAATCAGCCCACTGCTGTTCTATGATACAGCATCTCTACAAATGTAGTTGTTTGCTTTCAAATTTAAACTGCCATAGAAATGTTCCTCCTTCCTCCTCCATAGCATCCAAACTTTTCTTTCTTTTCCCCTTCTTTCCCAAAATAACAATTTTACTGATGCCTCAGAAAGGGCACTAGTTTGTTTTGATCTGATGACATGTCAGCATTTTAAATTCAATAGTTCTGGGACAGGCTCTCACAAAAAGACAAAAGAGATTCTCTTCTCTTAAAAAAGAAGGTGATTAGTGCATGTTGAGATTGAAAGCTGACTCTTGTAATGTAATTTTACCAACCAAAAAACCTGATGGAAAAAAAAAATACTTCTAGGTATTAAGATAATACTGCTTTAAAAGCAAATTAAATTTCCTTTATTATGGAAGTCACTCTTTGTAAAATTAACATAACTTCTGCAGAACTGAAGTCAGAAATAATGTTTTCTCCTGAGAATTCCAGAGAAAAAAATAAAGCAGGCTTACCTCTTTGTCTGCCTTTATGAGGTAGTAAAGTATCAGAAATAAGGGGTCCATTGGTGTAACAAATAGCAGGCGCCCATCTAGGTGACAGACATGCAAAAGTAAGCTTCCACAATATATTGACTTTTTGGGGCTTTAGGATGTTTTTTAGGAGTGTGAACAACATTTTTTTAAATACGTATCCCAATATTTTAATAAAACAAAACAGAAAAATAGTATTTGTAATTTCATATTAAAAATACAGAGATAACTCAATTCTCTACCCTACCAAACCCAAGCACAAACCCCACTTCAGGACTTCTGCTTCATGTACTCTGAGTTTTGCCTTTTTTTCTGGACTGTATTAAAACCAGCAAAATTGAAGCTGCCCTCTATTGGCAGATTGGGGGGCAACAGAAATTGGATTGGTATACCAGAGACATTCAGCAACATTCCACCTCTAACAGCAGGCAAGGCAACACTGCACTGGCAGAAGGGACAGGCAGGACAAGAAAGAATGTCAAGGGCTAGTTAAGTGAGAGCTGCCTTCATCTGTAAAAGGAGAATCTGATGCAGTTCCTAATGGAACAAAATAAACTTAGATCAGAATACATGGCTCAGTGTGCTGTATTCAATGTTACACACAAAGGAAGGACTTGGTCTCCCATTGAAACAGACACCTCTGCCCATCTGGAGTTCATTGCAGGACAATGGCTTAGTCAGGCCTTTTGTACAACTGCAGATAATTGGAAACAATGTAACATCAAGGAAATTCACTAATGAGACCAAATAATTGATGACAATTTGACAGTAATTAGCAAACCAAAAGCAAATAAATGTAATTTTTTTTCTTGTTTTAAAGCACATGATTAAGATAATTAAAGAAAAGGAAATCCTATTATGATGACCCTAAAACTAACAAAAGATCATGTGGGAAGAATGTGTTTTGGGCAAAGCTGATATCCAACCTACCATGTGTATTACCAGCATGATGCTCAGTGTGAGGCAAAGCACACATCAGGACTACTTACAAACATGACAGCTTTGATATTGAAATTGGAAGGAAAAAGACCCACTAGCCACTTCCTAACAGCTTCCATTTAAATGCTTTCCACCCAACCTCCAGGAAGAGTTACTTTTGCTTGTTTTAAAGAGTCATACTCACTAGAGGTGTATAAAGACCTCTGCCCTCCTCTGCAGATAACCAGATAATTTGTTTTAACTGCAAACACACAGATTTTGTTGTGTTGTTCTTCTCCTGACCCTTTCAGAGATACAGCAGCCCTAACATTCAGGAACAATTTTTCCACTGTATTTTTAAAGAAAACTGAGGGCATGATTTCTTAAAGCAACTGTTTCCCAAGGGCCAAAATAAAGGTTAGAAAGGGAGAGAGAGAATACAATGTGGACATAATTGGGAGCAGGGAGCAGACCCAGTCTGTTGGCTCATCCCCAAGACAGAGCAAGGAAAAGCTCAGAGACATAATGCTTGCACTGCTTTATGTGCCTGCAGAGGATGTTTAAAAGTTAGCACACACTTTGGGATATTACTGTTAAAGAAGGCATATGTCTGGAAGGGTTGCTTTTATTTATTACTATAAATGGACTTTTCTCTAATGAAAAGGAATAAAACAAATATACCTTAATCTTCTGAATTAATACTTATGGACATGCTGGTCTGTGGACATGCTGGCAGAGCAACACTGCTACAATAACATCCTTACTGAAAATGGATTGTGAAAGCCATCACAAGCAAGTTACACAGCTTCCTCCTCATTTTCAGAAAGGTGAGCAGGATCAGAGAACGTCCAGGATAGTACAAACCAGCTCCCTTCAGAGACAACTGAAATAGCAGCTTCAGACCTCTCCTGAGAGCCCAGCACTGAGGCTGGGGACTACAGAGGCAATTTAAAGAACACAAGACCATACATTCCAGTGCTTGGAGTTCTAACACACCACTTCGCTTGGCTAGCTAAGGCCTTCCAGCCCTTTCTTTTCTTTCCCATAGGATAATACATATTAGCTTACTCAGAGGACTTGCTGGTGTGATTGACAAGGAAAGCTAACTATTTTATGGCACTTCAGTTTAAACACAATTGAATTACTTACCCCTCCTTTCCCCTTCAAGAGATGACAAATGAACATCAGCCTAATTGAGGCTGCCAAAGGCAACCTTTTAAAGAGAAATGACAAAGCCTCCAGCCCTGGTTAAATCCATATGGCAAATGAGTCTATCAGAAGGTGGGGATATGATGCAGCATGTCTCAAACAATAAGGAAAAACACCTGTAAATTTACTAGAAGAAAGAAGGAAGGTCTGTGTATAAACATTAGTTAAAGATGGGAGAAAGGCACATTATCCAACTCACCCTGTTGAACAGTCTGACCTATAAACCAGGAACGGCATTCCTCGTGAAAAGCTTTTACTTCAAACAGCTGCTGTGCACCACTATTGAATAAGTAAAGGGTTGCTTCCCCTGTTGAAAAGAAATCTGGTTTGTGTTTGTAAGCTTTCAGAAAAATCAAAAGAATACCCAATATGTTTGAAGAATGTGCCTTATATACATACAGACACACAAACATACACACAGTCTACATAAACTCACTACAAAGAGAGCTCAGACAAAAAACACTATTATATACAGATGTTCATTTACCAGCTCTATAAACGAAACTGAATTTGAATCAATAAATAAGATGTGTGAATAGTTCATCTTACAACACAAAGCCTTTGATCCAAACCCAAATCAAAATCACTCAAGAAATCAGCTTTTATTCTGCAGTGAAGAGGGAAGGTGGAAAGCAGAATTCCCTCTCCTTCCATCATGTTTGTCTTGAGGATATCAGACTCTGGGTTAGGGGAACAAAAGTCTCAAACCTATCATGGACAATCTGGAATACCCTTTTTTTTTGTGCACCAAAATGGATTGTGATGACTTTGTATGCGTAGACATATAAAGTAAATGAGGAAGTTAGAAGAAGTTGGTTTGAAGCACCCATCAGAACCTTAATAGTCGGGAAAAGAAAGGGGGAAGCTTTATTTTAGGTCATCCCATAACACAGCTCTACCATTTGACGTTAGTTTTGGGTTACAAAAAAAGGGTGACAAACACATTTGCAAACAGGACTGGCATTTTTCATATCTGAAATGGGAAGTTACCACAACTGCAGAAGGGGCCGCTGAAATGCGGTCAGCCGAGTCTGTTGGCTGGATTGCTTCTATCTTGGTTATCAATCCATCTTCAGGAAACAAGAGTAACTACAGCAGGGCTGTCCTGCTCAGAGCACATAAATTGCAAAGCTGCAGTGACTTGCAGATGACGGGCTGGCTCAGAGAAGCCTCGGTGTAAGCCCTGAAAGCTGACATCAGCATTGCTCTTCTCAGTCTGCAGACACCCCCAGGTGCGGAGGGAGGTCAGCAAAAATGGGCAAACACATGAATTCCCAAAAATGACTGGTAATGCATTTTTTCCCCTTTATCCAAAAGGCTGACCAGATGTTTAACCTCACTTAAGGATATAATTTCAGTACTCTGATAATTTTTCTTTTGGGTAGGGGAGGAGAGGAGCAATGAGTAGTCATAAGGGGGGAGCAGAAGTTTCCATCATTACCATGTGCACCCTCAACAAGGGTCTACACCACAGTTTGATCAGCCCCATATCAAACTACTCACAGAAGTGCTGACTGAACAACTTAAGACTCCTACCAGTGAGTGTGCTAGCCAAACCCAGTGGTGAGCTACAAAGTCTTGGGAAAAGAACCCTTCTTATTACCTAAGTACAGCTCCTTAAATTGTGTCATTATGCTAAAAGGACAGCCACCACAGGTGCCCTACAGTACTGTCAGACAGGAACTGCAGGGGATGGGGAGAGAACCTGGACAGCTTTGCTCACAACTTCACTATGTTTCTCGTGGTACTTCCAAATTGCAGTCTGATCCCACTTTATAGTCTTTGTAAGGGATAGAAATTTTGTTGTTTTTACCTGTCTATATAAAGGACGAAGCATGCTTTTATTTAATAAAGTGGTTAGCATCAATTCTATAGTGTGCTGAGTCCTTCAGTGCCTACTTATACAGTATCTGGCACCAACAATTCATCTGTTAGACACAAAGGCAAGGAAAATACATTAATAGTGTGTTCTCAGTTCTTCCATTGTCAGACTTTGTATTTATAACAGGCTACATAACTGAAAGTCTATGCAGGCCTATAAATAAGGTCCTGTAAATTCTAAAGGAGCACACACGGACAATCATTGCACTTTAGGTTTTCCCCAGAAAACTTCCCCAAGATCTCTGATTCCACAAGGTAAACAGATCTCTTTTTACACAGAGAAAAACAAATTAACATCTATGCTTTTAAAAACATAAACTACAAAGGCAGTATGCTGTTACAGCAGGAAAAAATAACACAGGTGGAAAATAGATGTGGCTTTATATTCCCACTGTAAATCTGAGCAATCAAGAAACAGGTATCATGACGAGTAAGTGATTTTACATTCTGTATTATTATTTTTGACAATATTCCTCTTTCAAGAACAAATATAGTTCCTATACTGTGACAATAAAATTCATCTGAAGACTCAGTTACACACATATATGTAAATACATATAAATACAAGCAGTCAATTTCAGACCAAAACCATAAAACTTTAATCTATGGAAAAGAAACTAGCTCAGGCAAAGAAAAAAACAACAGCATGAAAAACGTTTTTCAAACAGAATGTTAACCCCAACAAAGGCTTACTGCAAGTTTCTCTCGCAGCATCATACACTCCAATTATTACTTAATCATAGAATAATTGAAAATCCTTCACAAGAAGAACAATGTGACTAGAAGAAAGTAATGGTGGGGTCATTGAATTGCCTGCATATGCTGGTCTTTCTAATGTATTTTGAATTCAAAGTGCCCCATCCTCTGCTAAGGAGAAAAGAGACACCATGACCTGGGCCACGAGAAGAAAATTAGATTTAAAAATTAAAAGACCCAAAAAGCTTGGTAAGTACACTTGAATCACTTCTTCTAACTCTATTTATTTTATAGCATAAGATGAATGCTAAGAAGCCTAAATTTGGATTAAAAAAAAATTTGGACTCAACACCCAACACTGCAAGCTCCCCAAAACTAATGCACTTAAAAACAGAACTTAAATTACACCCCTTTTTTGTTCTGCCAGTATTTCTGATGAATAAACAGTTCAACCAATTAAAATTATAAAAGAAATCCTAAATGTTTGCACAGCATTAACCATCTGGCATAACCAGCAGTATCTTTGGCACTTAAGACTTGTACCTATCATCATTATTTCAGCTTTGCGAAATATGAATCTTTTGGTGGTGGAGAAAATCAACCAGACTTTTAACAGGCTCATGTCACAGCTCCAGAACTTGCCTGTGCATGGGTTGCGCAGTTTTGTAAACAAGGGTTCGCTGTCAGGTGTCTTAGGGGGGTCAATAGCAGCCTCTGTAGGGGGAGAGGAAAAAGTTAGGAACTTGTAAATTGTGAAGTATTTCACATCTGCTTCACCAAGACATTCAGAATTAATTGGATTGACACTTTTTGAAAACACACACACACATCTGCCTAAAAATTGTATGCCTCAGCCCAAATTCATCCTACCTGATCAAGGCACTTAAATTATGATTCCAGACTTCCTGGCACTCTCTATCTGTCACAGGAAAGATATGCACCTGGGGATGATTTAGATTTTGAAAACCACTTCCCCCTAGAGAGCCTTCAGGCAAGAGAGCTCCTAAATTTGACATCCCAGTTAAGTAAGATGAACTGATATGCTGCCCTGATTAGTCACAAAGACAATGAGAATGCTTTGGTTAGTCAGGCCAAACACAACGTGGACATTAAGAAAGTCCAAAAGGTAAAATACACACGGGAAGAAGCTATCCTTTAAAGCTTTCACAAAATCAGATTATGCAGGAATTAGCCTATTCTAGTTATTATGTCTGTGAAAAACATGCACACTTATTTATCTGTTATGTACAAACTTGAAATATAAAGACTGCATTTAATTCCCCCCCCCAAGAAAAAGAAGCTGAGAGAACGCAGTACCTCTGGCTGAAGCCCCTTACAGATATTTTCTTTCCTGTATCTTTGAACCAACAGAAGATAAAAAGCAGAGCCACAAAAGCATAATTTTTTTTTCTGTGAAACTGAAAAAAGAAGGAAACAGCTACCACAAGGACGCTGACTCAAGTACAAAAAAACACATCTATAAGTATCCCCAGTTAATTATATTCTAGCCAAGTTCTCTTTGTAGGGAAAGTCTAACTTATATTTATGAAAACAACTTCCCACATCTCAGTAAAGAGCACCATGACAGCATCATCTTTCTTAGCCTGCACACTGCCAGTTCTGCCTCAATTCCTTTCATACAGGCATTCATCAGAGCAAGGAAAATTACTAAACCATTTCACATCTATAATGAGCATCCAGACCCCAGAGAATGGACTGACAGAGATCAGGCTGATGTTTGTGTTACACTGCTGCTGAGGAAAGCAGAGAGGAGCAGTAGAGACAGACTGCATGATTATTCAAAGGAACAGAAGTGCCACACTGTCTTTCCCCTTTCAGTAACATCCAGCAGGTTTGGGAAGAGGGAACTGGTACAATTCACTGGCAAACAGGGAAGTAGGAACAACTGTCCTCCACCCTGGCTGAAAGCCCCTGAAAAGAACAAGTGGACTTCTCACACTTGGCTCTTCACTAACACCTCATGGGCAAAAAAACCCCCAAAAAACAAAAGGCCCAAATAACTCTCAACCTTCACATCCACCCCTTGTTATTCAGTTGTGCCACCAACAGAAGTTGCCAGATAAAAACATAAGGGGGACACAAAAAACAACTGTGCTCAGTGATAAAAGTGTTGGAGGGTAATAATTCTCAGAGCTGTTCAGAGTATTTAAAATAATTTTCTTCCCTTCAATACTCCACTGAGTCTTCAGGTGGCTTGAAAAAGTGCTTTAAAAAGGTTCAATATAAGTTGAGGGCCTTTAATGGAAAAAGTCCGTATTTGCTAAGCAGACTTGCTTCATATGCTGATACATAAACACATGGTTGTCAAGCTACATTTGCCCTGGCAAAGGCGACTTTCCAATTTCTAGAGCTGTGTATATTTCAATTCTTGACCACAGTTTAACATTAGTGTATTTTTTGTTACTTTTTAAAACACTGAAGTGATTAATGATAGTGAAAGAAACACACTGCACATGTTTACTTTGATGTGTTTCACATGAACATATTAAAATATACACAGTAAATGTGAGTTTCAAAATTTAAAACAAAAAGCAAAACAAAAAAACCCCAAAGGAACTTTCAGCGCTCGCTTGCTCTGCTTTCTTCATGCACAGATTGATGAACACTGGGAATGAGTCCAGCTGAGCCTGAAGTTGCATCTTGTCAGCAATTAAGTCAACAATCCTTCCTAATTTTTTGCTGGTTTTAATGACATTTGCATCTTTACTAGGTTGAGATGTTCTCTTCCTAACCTGCTAGTAATACACTGGATTTATCCATCTCTGCTAAGCCTGGGGGACACCTATAGGTAGGGAGCACAAAGTGTAACAAACCCAAGGACTACAGTCTCCCTTCTCTTCCTCATCAATCCTCCACCTTCCCAATCGGATAACCACCCCCCTTCATCCAGGCCTGTCCCATGCCATTCCAGGCTCAGCACCCTCTATCTGCCCCTCTGGCCCTGCCAGGAGCTCTTCCCCACGTGCTGAAGAGCAGCACAGCTGTGCCCACGGGGCTCTTTGGTGCTCCTCATGCTCCAGGGGGTTCAGCAGGGCACAGAGGGCAGCAGGGATCAAACCCCAACAAACAGTCTGAGGTGCAGGCTGCTGTCCCAGTATCTCATGGCGATGGGATCAGAGTGCATGTCACACTCTCCACATGGCTGCCACGTAAAATAGTTTGCCTGAAGGGACATGCACACACACAAGGAGAAGGGAAGGACCGGGCAAAGGCAAAAGCGGTTTCTTTGAGTTTCTTTAACATTCAATTTCCTCAAAATGTAGGCAGTATTCCATTCCACTTCCAGGGGCATCTGAAGTATATTTTTGTTATAGATTGGCTTACTATATGTCAAGCTGGCAGACAAAAAAAAGAGGTAATTGGGAGAATGCCTGCTTGGAAAACTGGATGCAGTATTAATATGGCCTTAAGGGCAAAGAAGGCTCTATTTATCTGAATTTAAATACCTCGTGACTAGGAAAATGCTGAGCAAGGGATTTTTGATGTTAGGTGTCCAAACCTAACTTATTTGTGTTCTGGACTGCAGCCAGGAAAGGTAACTGGATTTCTTTAATGCCATTACATTTATCAGTCTTTCTATTTCAGCAAGGATCTCTTATAGCTAAGTAAACACAGACTTCTTAAAAGCAGTACTGTAGCCATTTTCTAGCAAAACTGAGAGTTAAACTAGGTTAGGAGGTTTTTTCAATTTTAAGGTTCACCTTCAGATAAGAAATGACCTTACAGAAAATAAACAGTAAAAAGTAACATTACAGGAAGAGCTGTTTTGTTAAATTCTAAAGGAAAACATCAGGTGATTGCCACTATGTTTATAACAGTTCCCATAGCTCAGCCCTGAGAAACTTTTTCCCCCAAGAATACTTGGGGAAGAGATAGGTAAGAGCTTTTTGAACAGTACAGTCTCTGCCAACAATGGCCCACAGTCAGGTCAGCTTACTCACATGTGTCATTGCAGCATGATTTTCTCCTAGGACAACATACACTACAATGATATAAAAAACTAATAGAAGGGTACCGAGGAGCTCTATTAATCCTGTCTCAAGGAGGTATCTCAGCCAGCAAATCACTCTTTAAAATGCCTGGGAAGACAGAAGGCAGATACTTCCAAGAGGCAGCTGAAGAAAAGGAGAAAAGATTGTGGTGTTTCATGGAGGTCAGACATACAACCAGCCAAATTCTATAAAATGCATAAACAAAACAAAGCGAAAATGAACCAGCTTTCAAAGGATTTCTGGCAATGATTTCTTCCACAATGGATAGATATGAGGCACCAATGAATTTGGTCATTAAAACAAAAAAGTGTTACCTGGTACAGCAACATAAATAAATTGAAAAACAACATAAAACTCCCACGAAGAGCTATGAAACTGTTGTGGATGATGCAAAGTCTATTCACCTTTTTAAAAAAATGCTTATAGAATACTATATATAACAGACTAATATCAAGTTATATGGAGTTCCCATGCAAAAAGCTGCCAGCCAAGCAAGCAAAAAGGCTGTAAATATCTGTCAAATGCGTAAGAGGAAAAAACCCTCTGAGAGCACAAATTTCCCAACCACCACCAGCCTACAAAGAAAAAGGACTATTTAAGTCTGGAAATATAAAGTTAAGATTTCATTTAAAAACAGATATTAAACCATACGTCACCTACACAAGTCTTTTCCATTCCCTTCTTAACTTCTAACTGTGCATGAAAGGTGTGTCAGATGAACACATTATGATGGAGCCCATTAAATAGGTATTTTATGGAAGACTTTAAACTATGTAGCCTAAGGGTACAGATAGGTTAGATCTATTAAACATTTTGTGTTCTTTTCAGAATCTCAACCCTCAAGAAAATGGCTTTAATTCACTGTCCATGTCCATTGTTGTGCAGCATGCCCTGAAAAAAGCCTAGTGAAAAATAACTAATAAATCCAGTACTTCGTATCACCCAAATTTTTGATAATTTTTCTAAGTAACAATTAACTGCAAGTACAATAAATGAATTCAGGAATGCACAGACTGAGGATACAGTTTCATAAATGGCTTCAAATGACCAAAGATCACAGTCCATAGAAAAGTGCAGTCCTGGGGTCCCCAACTCTGCTCCCTTCTTGTTTTGTATCACCAAAACTAGCAAGCTTTATGGCCCCACAGCAAGTCAGCTCAGTTCACTCATCCAGCTGAGAAGTAAAGATCACAGTCCATAGAAAAGTGCAGTCCTGGGGTCCCCAACTCTGCTCCCTTCTTGTTTTGTATCACCAAAACTTGCAAGCTTATGGCCCCACAGCAAGTCGGCTCAGTTCACTCATCCAGCTGAGAAGAAACCAACCACAATGAAGAAGTAAATAACTTTCAATCCTATCAGTAAGCTCAATGGAACAAGGGACAGAACCCAAGACAGGAGCAGATGGTGTAGAATACACCCTACTCCACATGTGACACAGCTGTCTTTGACCAATGCACACAAATCAGAAAAACAGATCATATGTGAATTGTCAGAGTTGAAAAAGCAGGAGACGAGCCACAGGTCTACACTGTTGCTTCCTTGGCTCACAATACTCAGGGGAGCACTGAACAGAACACAGCTCAATTCACCTCTGCAAACAGGCAGTATTTTGCAGGTGCTGACATAGAAGGTATGGGTTTGCACTTGCCCACACTTGATTTTTGGAAATAATCTTAATTGTTATTCAGTTATGCAAACTTG